GGGAGCCCCACCGAGCCACAATGTCTGGCTTGTCTTCGAATGTCTCGCTGTCGACGTCGGCCCCTTCGCTGGCCTCTCGGACGCCGCGGCCGAGCAGGCATGAAGCACGCGCGCACATCTCCAAGACATGCGAGCACCAGCCCCAGGGCCCGGGGGCCTCCCTCCCGCCTGGGGCACCCAAAACACGGGCCCAGAGCCTCTGGAGCCTCCTCGGGGCTACGAGCAGGGCGCCGGAATCAGGACCACCCGAGGCTCTGGAGGGGATGTGGTTGTCGGGCCGTTCCTTCGAACTGGGTTGTGGAACCTGTTCATGGCCGATACTCACCAGGACCAGAAAAGCCCCTTCGTTCCCATTGAACGTTCCTTATGGTACCACGATGACTTTGGCCTGAATGCCCACCTAGATGTCCCAAGACGGCTCTTGCACGACTCCAAGAAGGCCTAAGGGGGCCCAAGATGCTCAAGATGATGGCCCCAAGACGGCCCCAAGACGGCCCCAAGAGGCTATCAAAAGGTTCAAGTGGATGTCCAGGCGGCCACAATCCTGCATAAACAAGAAAGGATCCCTTGTTTCCAGTATTTTTATGATTCCGCACTCGTGCACAAAATGTGACTCCCTGAGGGCCTCGGAAGCTAAGCTGAGCCAAAGCAGGGTCCTAAGGTTGCCCAGGACGTGCCGAAGGAACGCAATAAGGCCCAAAAGGGCCCGAAGACGGCGCAAGACGACCCACACGATCTCTCAAGAAGGTTTAAGGCGGCTAGAGGAGAGCACAACATGGACCCAAAATGTTCTTAAGAGGCCATTATATTGCTCAGAGAGGAACCCAGTACGGGCCCGCAGGGCCCCAAGAGAATCCAGATATGGCCGCGGGATATCATCGGGACAGACGTTTGGGCGAAGGAGGTGGAACACGAAAGGGAAGATGAGGAGGAACCTCCTACCTGCCCACCCCCACCACTCCTTCCTCTCGCCCCTCCTCAACCATTTTCCTGGAAAGGGCCTTAGCCCAGGGTTCTCTTTTAGAGGTTTACCCACGGAATCGGCGGGAAGCGGGCCGGCGAGTTATTTGCGGGAAATATCGAGGTGGGAAGAGGGCGGCGGATTTTTTGGAACATGTCCAGAGCGAAACGCTTTTTATTCAGAATTTGTTGAGGATGTCTCGAGCGAAACGTTTGTTTTGTGGTATAAGCTGTTCCTCCCCTGGGGACCAGAATTCAGAGGATGTCTCAGGTGAAATACTTTGTTAGCGTGTGTTCTGTATTGGGATATTCTTTCGGGGAGCGCTTTTCGCTTCCCCCCATCCCCCAGGACGCCCCAGGAGGCTCGAGAAGCGTGAAAACACCTGGTCCCTAACGCCCAAGGGCGGGACAAGAGTGAAAACACATGGTTCCTAACGCCCTAGGGCGGGAGAAAGGTGAAAGCACATGAGTTCCTAACGCCCCAGGGCGGGAGAAGTGTGAAAGCACATGGGTTCCTAGCGCCCCAGGGCGGGACAAGGGTGAAAACACTTGGGTTCTTCACGCCCCAGGGCGGGACAAGGGTGAGAACACATGGGTTCCTAACGCCCCAGGGCGGGAGAAGCGCAAAAACATTTGGTTCCTAACGCCCCAGGAGGCTCCAGGAGGCCTCAGGAGGCCCCAGGAGGCATTGTTCTGTATTGGGATCTGTGTTTGGGGGGCGCTTTTCGCTCCTCCCTGCCCCCAGGAGGCCTCAGGAGGCCCCAGGATGAATTTTTCGGTATTGGAATATGTGTTCGGGGAGCGCTTTTCGCTTCCCCCCGCCCCCCAGGACGCTCCAGGAGTTCCGAGAAGCGCGGAAAGACATGGGCTCCTAACGCCCCAGGGCGGGGGAAACGCGAAAACACATGGGCTCCTAACGTCTCAGGGCGGGGGAAGCGCGAAACCATATGGATTCCTAACGCCCAGGGCGGGACAAACGTGAAAACTCATGGGTTCCGAACGCCACAGGGCGGGAGATACTTGAAAACACATGGGTTCCTAACGCCCCAGGGCGTGGGAAGCGCGAAAACACATGTGTTCCTAACGCCCCAGGGCGGGACAAACGTGAACACACATGGGTTCTGAACGCCCCATGGCAGGAGATACGTGAAAGCACATGGGTTCCTAACGCCCTAGGGCGGGACAAGGGTGAAAACACATGGGTTCCTAACGCCCCAGGGCGGGACAAGGGTGAAAACACATGGTTCCTAACGCCCCAGAGCGGGACAAGGGTGAAAACACATAGGTTCTTAACGCCCCAGGGCGGGAGAAGCGCAAAAACACAGCACAGCCCGTGGCACGGTACATCAAGATCGATTCACTCAGCCTTGCAATTTAGCACATTCCCTGGCACAATGCGTGGCGCATCCCATGGCAAGTCCCCTGGCACGTCTCGCGGCGCGTCCCCTGGCGCGTCCCGTGGCACGTGCATTGGCACTTTTCGTGGCGCGTCCCTTTGGCACGTCCCACGGTGCGTCCCCTATGGCACGTCCCATGGCACGACCACTGGCGCGTCCCTTGGGACGTTCCGCGGCGCGTCCTCCTGGCGTGTCGCCCTGTCGATTAGCTCTGGGGCAGTTACTATGTGCTCAGGCAGCTCGAGCTTAAGATCCAGATCAGTTCGGTTCAGGACTCGGATGCAGAGGGGGACTCGACCCACAACGCTACAGAGCACAATCACGGCAAGGCGCATCGCAATTCAGCACGGCGCAGCACGACACAACTTTTGGTACGGTACTTCAAGATCGATACTTTCAGCATTGCAATTGCCTGTCGCCCGATCAGGTGTCTTGAAACCGTTGCCATGCTGCCGTTTTTAGATTCCTTTCCGGGTTCGTGGGTCGATCATGTTCACCTTCATCGTTCGTCTTCCTCACCTCCCTCTCGTCAGCTATCCCTCCCCCATGCTTCTTCCCCACTTCCTCCAACTTGCCCCGCCACTCTGCCCCCTCCTCCCCCCCCTTGGCTACGCTTGGCTGGCTAAGAGCGCGGGACGGTGGTGTGTGGGGGGGGGGGGGCAATGAGCTACATTTCTTTCTTTCTTTCTTTCTCTCTCTCTCTCTCTCGTATACATAGATTAGCTTGTAAGTAAGTGCGTATACGTATGGCAATACACATTTACGTAGGTGTGTGGTCACACACACACATATATATATGTATCTCTGTATACAATAACTGATAATTTCTAATTGTGTGTTTACGTGCATGTATCCTTACACGTACGTGTACTTGTAAGCATCCGTGCACCTCTCACCAGCTTGTAATCGTGCCTTCAGCAACGATCTCGTTGGCTGGCTTCACAACCCGCGGTCCTGATATATTCGGACACGTTTCCCTCGTCCGCGCTATTATTATACTCATCACTATTTGTACGACCTGAGCACGCGATAATTGCCCGATTATTCTAGTTTTGATGCGTCCAATTTAGCATGGTTCGGAGTCGGCAGTGAGAACAAGCGCATTTTTTTGGTCGTAAGGCGCCATCAGGTTTTTTTTGTACAATGTTGGTGTGACGTATGTTTTTTTCCCACATCTGTGTCTCACTCTCGCTCTCTCTCTCTCTCTCTTTCTCTATCGCCACTCTTTTTTTCTCTGTCGACCCCATCTTCTTTGTACACACGCTCTTTTCGTTATCTATTTTCATATTCACACCAATGCCTATATATCGCTCTCTTTCGCGCGCTCTCCTTCTGCTCGCTCTTTCTCTTTTCTTCTATCCGTAAGGGCTTCGCTCCCTGCCGCCAGCCCCCTCTCTCGGATACTGGGGTATGCAAGAGCTATGTTGTGAGGCCTGGGCGCCGTCGTGAAGCAGCGTCGCCGAACGGGGGCCACTGGAGATATGAGCAGGCAAAAAGCCATGACAAACCGGAGGAAAATCGCGGACGTTGGCCTCTTGGGCCCCTCTTGGAGCCTCGTGGGCCGTCTTGGGACCATCTTGGGCGCCTTGGAGCACTCCTGTGCCGTCTCGGAGGCCTTCGTACCGTCTTGGGGGCCTTTTATGAAGGATTGTGGCCTTGAAAGCGCGAGCATTGTGTATTTTACGAGGGTTGATGACTTCGGTGATTTCGGGGACGCAAGTAACTCATGTTTTGCGAGGGAGTATTGCTTCGGAGATGCGAATATAGTTTAGTTTTTAAAAGGACTGGTCTCGAGAGCGCGAACAACGCGTAATTTGCGAGGGTTTGTGACCTGGGGGACGTGAGCACGGTGTAATCTTCGAGAGATTCTGGCTTCAAGGGCGCGAATACAGTGAGTGTATTTTATGAGGGATTCTGGTTTGGGGGGCGCGAGTATCATATTTTTTTTTACATGTCCTAGGGCCCCCCAGAAATTCAGACCCCCCCCCCAGGTGAAGGCAACCAGGGCCCTTTTCGGCTTCCACCCCTCGCGCGGACTGCAACAATTCACAGTAGGAAGCAGAACACATAATTGTAATTCCGGAGACTGGAAGCTGGAGCTGAAGCAGGGAGCAGCCAGCCTAATCTGCGGAGCCTCATGGCCCCGCAAGGGGGCCGGCGGATCTTTCTCCCTTTAGCTGCCTCACTCTCTCTGTTCCTGTCGGCATCGAATTTTTCTGGCCCGCGAAGTAGCCAGGGGCGAGTTCCTCTAACTATTTATTTTTTGTTGCTGTCACATTGAGAGCCGGTTTCCCCGCAGCATGTTCCGGCAAATCCAAAGCACTTTCTTTATCAGCCATATTTTGACCAGCTTGTCTGTTTGCCTGCCATCCCCCCCGCGGCCGCCCCGCCCTTCCTCCTCCCCCCTTCTGCATGCCGGCCAATTCGCTTTGTAGTGCTCCTGCATCGCTGCCACGCTGGAGCGGATTGCCCCGCCTCGCACCCGACGAAACAAGTTAGTTTGCCTGCCCTGCCTGGGCGCCGAGCGCGCGGGCGATGACGGTCTTCGACAGAGATCCTGCGTGCTATTTGCCCGCGCGTCTGCCATACAGCCTGCCTGCCTGCCTCTTGCTCGCCCGCATTGCCGCCTGCCCGCGCCATCAGGAAGATTCCCTCACATGGGGAGCACCTCCCCTTCGCCTCGCAGCCGCGGTTGCAGCAGGCGCCCCCTCCCAGCCTGGCCAGGCCTCTTCGGAGGTGTGCCTTGGAGGGAACACAATTTCCTCTAGGCGTCCATGTGCCCCTTTCCCTTCCCCCCCCCTCTCCCTGCCCCCTCCCCCTCCCACTCGCCCCTCTCGAAGACGCCTCTTGCGAGTCACCGCCTCGCCCTGTCTCCGAAAGCTCTTCTTGGCGACTTCCGCTTGAGCCGTCGTGGGGCTCACCCGGGGATTTTTTTTCGGACTTTCTTGAGCTGTCTTGTGGTCTTCAGGGGGGTTTTGTCGGGGGCCTTTCGGGCGGCCTTGGGCTCTTCGAGGCCCTCGTGAAACCCCCATTAGCAGATAAACTGGAAGTCCCAAGCGTCAGAATGTGTTTTCATGTTTTTGCACGTCTGGGCGTCCTGTTGGTGTCCTCTTGGGGCGTCGGGAATCTTCTTCAAGGCCCAGCGGGAGTCTTGGTAGGGCTCTCGTCGAGTAAGGTATCGACTACATAATCGATTTACCCATCATTGACTTTCTTGTCGACTCATACGTAGAGTGTTCGTAGGTCTGCGAATTTTCTTCGCATTTCTCATGGGTTCGACGAAACAATCGATTCTGAGGGACATCAATTCTGTAGTCGATCCCCCACTCGATGTCTGGAGCTGTGTTGGGCCGTATTTCGGGCCGTCTGGAGCTGCGTCGGGCGCTTCCTTTGGCCACCTTGGCGACATCCTCGGTTATTTGAGCAATTCTGGTGATGAGTGAGGGGGAGGGGTTGGGGTCTGACGAGATGAGCCGAAAGGCCCTTCGAGAGGTTTGAAGAGCCTAGAAGTCATTTTGTTGTTTAGCACGTCCACCCCCCCCCTGTGGGTCGGCCCACCCCGCCACCGTATCTGCATTGAGTCAAGGCGCACTGGGAAAGACTGAAGGCCACATTGAATCACCAGCGACGTTCCTTGAGAGTCTGGGAGTACCGCGGCCTCCTGTGAGGGGGGACTCTTTTTGCGTTGTTTT